ATATTCACCACAATAAAAAAAAAACTACCATTCCAACTCCTAGGTATATAACCAAAAGAATCAAAAGCAAGGAATCAAATATTGTCCATCCATGTTCATTGCAACATTATTCACAGTAGCCAAAATGTAGAAACAACCCAAATATCCATCAACAGATGAATAGGTAAACAAAATGTAGTAAATACATACAATGGAATATTATTCAGCCATAAAGAGGAATGAAATGCTGATACACGCTATGACATGGATGAACCTTAAAAACATTATGTTAAGTGTCTTCGTTATCTAGTAGTGCCGCTATAACAGAAATACCACAAGTGGGTGGCTTTAACAAGCAGATATTTATTTTCTCACAGTTTAGGAGGCTAGAAGTTCGAATTCCAGGTGCCAGCTCTAGGGTAAGGCTTTCTATCTCTGTCAGCTCTGAGGAAGGTCCTTGTCTCTTTTGAGTTTCTGCTCCTGGGCTATCTTCGTGTAAAAGCTTGGCATCTCTCTTTCCCCATCTCTGCTTCTCTTGCTTGCTTGTTTAATCTCTTTTTTATATCTCAAAAGAGATTGACTCAAGGCACACCCTACACTAATGCTGCTTCATTAACAACAAAGATAACCCATTCCCAAATAGGATTATAACCACAGGCATGAAACCAAACCAAACCTGTTGCCACTGAGGCAACTCTGATTCATAGTGACCCTACGGGACAGAGTAGAACCATCCCGTGTGTTTCCAAGGAGTGGCTGGTGGATTCAAACTGCCAACCTTTTGGTTAACAGTCGAGCCCTTAACCACTGCACCACCACAAGCATAGAGGTTAGGAATTATAATACATATTTTGGGGAGATACAATTCAATCCGTAACATTAAGTAAATAAATCAGACACAAAAGGACAAATAATGTATGATCCCACTTATATGAAATATCTAGAATAGTAAATGCATCGAGACAAGTTTATCAGTGGTTACTAGGGAATGGGAGGAAGGGGGTAATGGGTAATTATTGCTTAATAGATACTGACTTTCTGTTTCTAAAAAAACCCAAAACCCATTGCCATCGAGTCAATTCCAACTCACAATGACCCTACAGGACAGAGTAGAACTGCTCCAAAAGACCTCTTTGAAGATGTGATATTATAATAATAATAAAAAAAAAAAAACCCACTGCTGTCGAGTCAATTCTGACTCATGGAGACCCTATATGATACAGCAGAACTGCTCCGTAAGGTTTCCAAGGGGGCAGCTGGTGGATTCGAACTGCCAACCTTTTGGTTAGCAGCCGAGTTCTTAACTACTGATGAAGAAGGTTTGGAGATAGATAGTGGTGACAATTGTATAACCTGGGGAATGTAACTAATATCATTGAATTGTATACTTGAAAAGGGTTAAAATCTCCTACTTCATGTTTTGTGTATATATATATGTATATATATATATACCATGATAAAATTTTTTAAAAATCTACAGTTCACATTCAGGATTTAGGGTTCTGATCTATGGGTTCTCTAACTTTTTATCTCATTTCCAAGAAACATCCCTGGCTCTGATTAACTCATAGTTTTCTTTTACCCTTTGACATTTTGGCTACTCACTATATTGGATTATCCAAATGAAACTATCTGTTGGATATTTCCCCTTCCTTGCCTCCCACCTATACTGGGTAGGTGGATGAAAAGGAGAAATAGGAAACAGTGGTATGAGAATATTTAATGATAAAGGCAGATTTAACAGAAGCAGAGGTGGAAGAAAAAAACCTAAGTGCTCCACTTTCAGCACACATGTTTTCCATAGATGACTGGTTTTCTTCATTTTGATAATTACAATTTCAGGCAGCATCCCTCCACTCCAGGATGGTTATCCCATTTGTGGATGACCCATTTCCTGTGCGTTTCCTTCCTGTGGCCCACCTCGTGTCCACATTAACATTACTCCATGTCACAATTGATACCACAGGTGGCCAGGGCAGGTTTTGCGAAGAAAATGACATGGAAACCTGTCAAGCTTGCTTGGTGTTTAAGTAAAATATTTGGTGAGGAGAGGCCCAAACTCTTGGCCAGAATGAGACTTCTGAAAAACACAGGCATTTTGGAAATCCACACCATTTCCTTCATTGTCATCTCAGCGAACAAAGATCAGAGCAGTAAGCATAATGGCAGTTTTGAACTTGGAAATAAAGATGAAGATATGCCCTCATTTCTTAAGTGTAATTACTTAACCAGTGTTTACTAGAATTTCAGGTGGTGCAAACCATTAAGCGCTGGGCGACTAACTGAAAGGTTGGCAGTTAAAACCCACCCAGAGGTACCTCAGAAGAAAGGCCTGGTGATCTGCTTCCAAAAGATCACATCCATGAAAACCCTATGGAGCACAGTTCTACTCTGAAACACATAGAGTTCCCCATGAATCAGAGTCGACTTGACGGCAACTGGTTTGGTTTTTTCGTGTTTTTAGGTTAGGCTTAGTTTAATGCATGGTCTTCTGTGTGCTTACAATCAAGGAGTCAAAACTAACACACAGAATTCAACAGGGGGCAGCAATTCAATAGAGTTATGTAAGTAGGGGCTGGATTGTGTAGGACTGAATCTATGTGTGTGCCTCTAAATTCAGGGAAGGGAAGAGACGAGGAGGCTGAAGAACTTTGTGGACAGAGGTGAGACCTGAGCTGTGCCCAGAAAACTGGGGCAGTAGGGGAGTGGGATTTGGATTAGCAGATGAAAGAATGTGTTGAGACCCTCTAATGCCAGGAAAAGGAGCCCTGGTGGCACAGTGGTTAAAGTGCTCAGCTGCTAACCAAAAGGTCAGTGGTTCAAACCCACCAGCTGCTCCACAGGAGAAAGATGGGGCAATCTGCTTCCTTGAAGATTTACGAGCTTGAAAACCCTGTGGGGCAATTCTACTCTGTCCTATAAGGTTGCTTTGAGTTGAAATTGACCCAATAGGGGTGGATTTGGGTTGGTTTTTGGAATGCCAGGAAGAAGCCAGGAAGGTGGGGAGAGATGGAAATGTTGTTAAAATACATCAACCTCTCTTCTGTATGAAGTTGTATTGTCTGGGTAACCCCTTTTCTTAGAAACGTTCAACAAAAGGCAATCTTATTTAAGGAATAAATTAGCACATTCATGTCGGGGGCATTGGGAGTATCTGTTACTAGTTAGGAGCCCTGGTGGCACTGTGTGTGGTTAGGCGTCAGGCTGCTAACCAAAAGGTTGGCAATTTGAATCCACCAGCCACTCCTTGGAAGCCCTATGGGGCAATTCTACTCTGTTCTAGAGGGTTGCTATGAGTCAGAATCCACTCGATGGCAATGGGTTTGGTTTGGTTTTTTTTCTTTTTTTTTTTTTTTTTGTCACTAGTTAGCATTTGATATTGAGGGATAAAGTTTGAAAAGGAATGCGCTCCCATTGAGGTTGTACTTGGAATAAAAGTCATGACCTGCAAACCTCTGCACCGTCTCACCTTGCCTCCCCTTCTAATTTCCTGCCTTCTGTGCTCTTCTCTCCCTCATTCACACTACTTCATCAATACCAACCTTCTTTCTCTTTCTTCAATGTGTTAAGCTCTTCTCTGCCTCACACAATCTTTGCGTTTGCTGCTCCCTTTCGGGACACTTGTTCTCAGGGTCCTGGGCAGACCAATTCTTTCCCATCAGTCACTTCTCAGCTCACATTTCACGTTCTCAGAGACTGCAGTCTTTTCCTGACCATCTCACCTGAATTCCGGTACCCAGAGCTCTCACATTCACCGTCATATCACCCTCTTTTGAAACACAAGGAGCACTCTGAATGGTCTTGTTTATTTGTTTATTTATTTATTATCTATGTCTCCTCACTGGAGGGTTGTTAGGGCAGGAACCTCCTGTGCCTTGTTACCCCATCCCCCCAGAATGTCATAGGCACTCAATGAAGTGTGTATTAAATGAATCAAAGGCAGTGGGATCTCCTTTATGGTTAGAGCATACAATGCTTTGCATTGTCTTCGCTTCCTAAGTGCTAAAGCATCACAAAGCAGGCAGAAAAGAGTGAATGGTGAAGACCTGAGGTGGCCGTGTTGCTATGGCATTACCTTTCAGCACATCTCCTCTCCTTTATTCATCTTCTGAGTCTCAAGAACTTGGAAAACAGCACCACTCAGAAGGATATTTCAAAGAGATGGACTTTGAAAGAACAATCGTGTGGGTTGGACGAATGCTACTATATTAGAGCGAGAAAAGCTTCTGGTTTAATTCATTTCTTAATATGTTTACATGTTGTTGCCATTACAGAATACAGTTGCTACATATAATGATCTAAAGTTCAGTGTTTTTACAGCCTGCGCTTGGAAACCCTTACACACATTCTCCTGTGTACTGTGTACATCCATCTTTCTGTACTTTGTGCCGTTCATTCCCTCCTCCAGGTAGCCCTGAATGAGTCGCTCTGCCCCTCACAAATTAGGGTACGGCAGCCATTGTTAAAGTATTGAAGGAAGTTGGAGAACCTGTTATTTGCTCTCAATTATGGGTTTCTCACAGTAGTACACCTGGCTGACACTGTACAAAAGCTGCCTAAAGTTAGTTCCCATTCGTAGCTGGGTTGGCGTCTAGGTGCCTAGTTAAGAAATTATGAAGTATGTGTTCTTCAGTTACCTGATTTGGATTTATAAATGAAATGCTATGGCACCTATCTGAGGTAATTCCATGTGTCACTAGAACATGCCTGTGTGAAATAACGTGATATATCCATCACTCTGCTGTTCAGATAAACTTTGTTTTATTATATTCTTCCAAAGAGTTTAAGGCATCACAACAGGTCAGAGCTGGTGGAAGAGATTTCTATTTCACGTGCCTTCCCTACACCTTTCCTTCCTACCTTCCCCTGTTAGGTAAGGGCAAGATCCATGTTTCTCCTCTACCTGGCAACCCACCAAACTGCAGTTAATTTAATGCATTATCTTAACACATAGCTTAATTCTCCCATCATCTAACTATTCAATAATCTCTAACGTCCAACATTCCTTCTTTCTTCTTCAGCACTGCAGTGACAACACGCATCCCTGCCAATCAGACATGAATATTGAAGGAGCCTGGAAGAGAGGCTACACGGGAAAGAACATAGTGGTCACCATCCTGGATGATGGCATTGAGAGAACACACCCAGATCTGATGCAGAACTATGTGAGTGTTGGCTGTGGATGGACCGCCTCCCCTCCCTGGGAGCAAAGGAACTCATGTTAGGATTATCAGAAAGGGGGAAAGCTACTAAAAACAGCTGACAGATACAGTAGGCTCTCCATGTTGCTCCTTTCTTGTAAAAGATGTGCTTTTAGAGTGCAGGAAGCATGAGATAACACATTAAACTGTCCAGTGCCTTTGGTGTGCTGACCTTTTTTAAAAAGCAGATGATAAGGTAGCAGAAACTCCACCACCCACACCATCTAGCTACCAACAACAGCCATGGTTTTCAACAGTTCATCCAAGTAGCTAGGCATCACTCTTTGTTTCCTTTATGGAGAAAAGTGTTGTCATAACTTTTCTCAAGTTATTCTGCTGATAGCATTCTCTCTCTGCCTCTCTTGTTCTTAAGGACAATAGTGATCAGCTCCACTGTGGTCCATAGGGATTAGTCAATTCCCTTTCTTATGAAGGAACTGTAAAATTTATTTAGTTGCCATTTGAACAAAGAGTGTAGAGTGGCTATTCTCACCCTGGTCTGAAGCATACTCAGATAGCTTTGTGGCTATTCACGTCACAGCGCTTTGGAACTAAAGAGAAAGGTCAGTTCAGTCTCCTCATTTGATAGGTGAAGACATTGGTATCTGAAGGCTGAAATGAGTTATCCAAGGTCACATATAAGAACAGAATGATAGCTGCCTGTTTCCTAGCTGAGAGGTCTTTCTTGTCAAAGGGGTTTTATAGTTTGGCCCTGCTCCCCACTGCGTAACAATATATTTGATCAAATACAGATAGCTTTAGCCTAATTGTGATTACCTTCTTTACTTTTTCTTTTTTATTCCCTTGAAAGAAAATTCTCTAGAATTACCTATGCCATTAGCTGTACAGGGATAATCATAAAGCATAAGAAAATCTCCAGACCAAAAACCAAACCTGTTGCTATCAAGTTGATTCCAAATCACAGCGACTATAGGACAGAGTAGACCTGCCCAATAGGGTTTCCAAGACTGTAAATCTTTATGAGAGCAGACTGCCCCATCTTTCTCCCAAAGAGCAGCTGGTGGGTTCAAACAGCTGACTTTGGTTAGCAGCCAAGCATCTAACCACTGACCCACCAGGGCTCCTCATAAAAAAATTAAAAATATCCTAAACTACGTTGTATACTGTGATGTAAATTTGAACGATGATAACAACCCAGTAAAATCTTTTTAGTAATTTGAAGTTTTTTCACAATCGTTTTTAAAAGCCAACAAATATAACTTTGGTTTTGGAGATACTTTTGCCTTGTGTTGAAACCTTGGCATATAATAAAACTTTATTATTTTGGTTTGGGCAAAAGGCCACTGAGTATTAGTAAAAAGTCTGAATTATAGACTCTTTTATAGTAGATACAATATCTGAAACCAAACAGATATTGCCTAATAGAAGTCCCAAGATACCTGACTTAATGAATACCTAACATGATTTTTAATTGGCTTAACAATTATTGGTGAATTATTTTTGTTTCTTATAGTCTTTAGATTATGCTAAGGAACTTGCATACTCAAGAAATGAATTAAGGACTAGGAAGAGGGTCCACAGGAATAAATCATTTTTCTAGGTTGTCAAGGAGTACTTTACAGAAAAGGTGGTAATTGCTGATGCCATCTTTGATAGATACACATTTTGTGAATTGGGTGGAGGGGTTCAGTTCTAGGTACGAGGGGAAAAGTGCTGGCAAGAATGGGCACTGGGCACTTGTATGGTCTGTGTGGAGTACTTCTTCCTCTTACAGCAGAAAAATACAGCACTGATTATTAATGGATTATTACTAGACAAGCAATCCCTCCCTAAGGTGGCCTGACACCACTGAACCATGAGCATCTTAGTTAACCTAATTATTCTCTTGCAGAAATGTGTTTAAGAAGGCATGAACCTGTAGGTTAATGGCTAACTAATGACCATCCGTTTCCTTTCTCTCCTCTGTGGCCGTAGGATGCTCTGGCGAGTTGTGACGTGAATGGGAATGACTTGGACCCAATGCCTCGTTATGATGCAAGCAATGAGAACAAGTAAGGCCCACGTGAGGGGTGGCTGGCATGTGTCTGGCAAGGCCTGCCTGGAGCTTTGCTTTCTGCTCATACTGAGGGAAGTATTTTCTTGGAAAGCCTTGGTAACGAGTGATCGCTAATTTCCTTCAAGATAAACAACTGTCTCTCCACTGAAGCTTCTGCCTAATAAAAAGGGGTGGTCCACATAGTGGGAACTACAGAGAGAGCCCTAGGGAATGAGTCAGCATTTCCAACTCTTGAGAGTAGTACTGGGGAGTATTGCCCCTCACATAGCAATTAGCATGAGACACATTTTTGCGCTCTTGGGGTGCTAAAGGGAGAAGCAAAACAAAAAGTTTCTTTTCCGTTAAATTCAACAAATTTTAATTATCTATTGTCTTTGAGGTCTCTGTCAGGACCGTTCTTATTCTGCTTCTCCTTTATTCTATTCTACTCTGTAGTGATTGTGTTTTCTACTAATATGCCTGATGTACCTACAAGGATTGCCTATAGTGAAGAGGCATAGAAATCATTTAACCACGTTTATACTTTCCAGTTAGCACAATCGTTTTAACGAAACTGCACCTCCATGAGATAACACGTAATATCCCAACAGTCTTCAGAAAGTAAGGGGGAAAGGTTTTCTTGCTTAAAATGACCCAGATTCTTTAAAAGATTAGTAAATGCTTCCAATCTCTATGTCATGTTAGTTAACATTTTTTTTCCTTTTACTGCAAAGCTCCTCCAGGATAATTCTTTGGGTTTTTATGTATATGTTTTAGTCTGGGAAAACAGACATTGCAGAGAGAATTCTTGCTCATTTGTTATGTGCCATTTCCAGTCTGCTTTTTTCTTTAGGGAAGGTTTTCTCGACTAGTATGATTTAACTAAATGAGTCAATGCATTTAGATAAAATCACATTACTTAGGAAATTGTGATCACATATGTGGCTTTTTATCACCACCCACAAAAAAAAAAAAATTCTCAATAAAGTGCTATGGAAAATAGTCTGCAGATTAATATGAACAACCAAGTAAATATTACAAATCATATTTAATGGTGAACATATTAATAAACTGTTGATGTAGATAGAGTTTTCCAGAACATTCCTAAGAAGAAAATACAAAGGGGGCCTAAATAAAGCCAGGTAGTTTTCTTTCAGACCTGGTTGTTGCTATCTAGTTTATAGTGTTTGAAGTTAGTGGATTTCACACAGAAGTTTCTCTTTTCAAAGTGAGCTAATGTATTTTAAGCCTATTTTGAAAACTAGCACAAAACACTCTAAAGAAGAAATTTGAAGCTCTCAATAGTTAGAAAGTCACAGCAGATACCTTGCGACGTCTGTGTTCCTGAAAATAGATGCACCCTGCAAAATCTAAAAACACAGGGCTTTAGGGTAATGGAGTTTGGGCACAATACTCAAAAACTTCATCAGTGACATAAAAAAAAAAAAGGATAGGAACCTAATAAACTAACATTTGTATAGAGAAAAGAGAAACAGGAAAACTAAGTGTAGGGATGTCTAGATCATGTTAACATCCAATGTATCCTTACGTAGAAGGTTTAAGGGACAAGAGGGTCTATAGCTAGAAACCACAAATTGTTTCAGTTCCATAGCCAGTCTGTTTGAATCTATGTGTGCAGTTTTTCACATACAAAACTCAGTGGTGATGGCAACTATTCTCCAAAGGTGTGGCTGATCTTTGATGACCATAGTCTTTACATTGTCTATGTGTGAAAACAATTCTTTAATTATTGTCTTTGATGGCTCTTTACAGAGTGCCTTTTAAAAACTGTATCCTATGTGACTATTTGTTTTAAACTTGGCTATCCCCAAGACCTTTGTTCAAGAAGAATCACCTTTGTCACCCTCACTCCGGGGTATTCTAATGTGACCTCTTTATTCATTGCCAGCCCTGTTCATGATTCATCAAATATAGTTGGAGTTTGATAATTGGAGAATGCAAGCATTTTCCCAGATGTGTGCTTAAATTGGTAGTCTTGCAGTGAAATTTGACATTTTCAGAGGTACAATACCACCACTCCCTACCTTTGTTTTTATGCATGGATCCATGGATAGACTATTCTGTTTAAATTGAGGGCCCTCGGCATTTGAAAATAGAGTGGGTTTGTAGTTTAAAAGAATTTACTTTTAGCCCTGGCCCTCCCTGATTAACTTTATGATCTCTAAAACGCGTATAATAATATGTATAAAGATTAGCAATAAAATATGTAAAACAACAAGCATAGTGCATATTTATTCCAATGTAATTGTGTATGTGTGTGTGTGTGTGTATGTATAGGTGCTGGATAAGTAGTAGCTGTTCTTATTGTAATCATGTTTTCTATTTATATATCCAAATCTTGGTAAGCAATACTTCAAAATTTGTATACGTATGAACATTTTTAATTTAAATTTAGACTTGGAAATCTTTATTTATTTACAGGGTTAGAACTTTATGGATTTTTCTGCTTTGGACTGGGAGCCGTGACTCGTTCAGACTATACTAGTTTTCTTCAATTCCATTTCCCCATCTCCCAGTGGACTACAAGTCCTTGAATTTGATATGACATAGTGGGGGCGAGGAATGCCTGATCATGATCAGAATGGAGAAAGATGAGGTATATGTTGCTACACAGGTGCCTCCTCCTCATTGTACAACCAGTCCCATAGGCTTCAGAGTGTATTTGGGATTATTTCAGACTTGGCTGCATTTGTTCATTCATTCAACAAGTATTCTCTGAGACTGTACTTTGCAGATTGTTCTGTGCCAAAAGCGTAGGGAATACAATGATAAAATAACATAGACAGCTAACTAATGGGGTAGAATTGGAAGATGACTTAGTAAGAAGCTATAATGTCAGAAGGGTTTTCAGTACTAAAAGAGAAAGTACCCTCAAACTTTTATGCAAATCATCTCTTAGACCTGCATGATTGCATTTGTAATGCCAAAGGTTTGGGGTGAAGGAAATCCCCTTTGAAGTATAACAGTTATAAAAGCTCCATTTCTTGTCCCTTTTTCAAGTTCCCAAATGGTGGAGTGTCAGACTTGCTAAATAATCGATGGTGAAGAAATAGCATTATTAGAGACCATTGTCTCCCATTCAGCTTTTCCTCCATTCATATTGGCATGTCAAGTAAAGCTGACTGCATTGTTCTAGGCTTAAAATAGAAGATGTCCTCCCTTCAAATGAAACAGTCTCCTGGCATCTCATACCACTACTCCTATTTCCAATAAATGAATTATTGATGTCTGAGTTAGATCATCCCTTCCCAGTTTGCTTCCTGTTCAATGTTCTCTCTGCTTAAAAGTCATAGCAACATATTTAGTAGATGAGACATGACATTATATTTTGAATGTGTGGCACGTGAACCCAGAACCTAATTCCTTTTGAGAATAAACTAACCCATGGGTTAAAGATTCATTTCCCTAAAGGAATGGATTTTTTCATTTTGTTTCTTACTTCTGTTTCCAGGCAGATTTAGCCAGACTGCGTGGAAGAATATTTCTTCTGGTTCTTTAGTCTCCTTTCACACGTCATTTCTGGTTTTCAGAACATTGCCATGTTGCAGAAACCAATGTGTGTGTGGCCTTCTCTTTTCATTCCTGCAGATGAGGACTGTTGTCATGAGATAGTGTTCCAAGGCAAAGCCAATGAATGTAATCAATGTTTTCTGATAATATGGGAAATATCCTAACTCAATATTAGAGAGAAAAAGCCCATGCTATAGGTCTTTGGTCTTAACAGGTAGAAGTACTGTTTCTTCATACTGGGGGTTTAGCCAAATATGTTTAGATAAAATTATCCTATAGCAAAGTAAGTCAGACAAGACTTACCAGAGAAAAGTTAGGCCCTTTGCAGGGAATGATTTTTTTCCTGTAAGTTTTCCCATTTGTAACTAATTCTTTTGCAAAACAGCGTCTACAATATGCTACATAGCATATAGTACTACATTGTATTTCTAACACAGTAGTTATTAAATTATTATCAAAAGAGTTTATGCAACATTGGCTCAGATGTAATGTATACAAAACAGGCAATTGTGAGAAATGTCTGGCACTTTTTATACACAGTTATAGATTTTATCATCAAGGAGGAAGAAACTGCAATAAATATTCCAGAAAATGTATTTCTGTACATGTGGTTTTGTGATGCACTACACTGAAATAGTTAACATTTTTTATCATCTTCTGGTTTTAAGAAGTGTTCTGGGTGCTGGCACCTCGTGTAGAGAGTAGCAGATTAGGAAAAGGGTTCTCAGACCAGAAGACAGCCAGCCCTTTCCCTTTCCCTCAGTAACCCCTTAGTCACTAGCCCTGACAGTTCTTGCCATTTAATTTCTCTGCTGTAATAGCTCTCAAAAGCTTCACACACAACCCTCATTCATTCACATAAGCCATTGCTTTGGTTTACCCCCCTTTCTCTCACCTAGATCCTTCTAAGAGTCCCCTAAATGGTCTGCACTCTCACCCTTATCCTGTGCCTGAGTGATAATTCTGAAACAAAATAAGAACGTTAAAATCCTTTAATGTCTTGACATTTTGTTAAAAATATAAGACCCTGCAGACCTCCCTCATTATTAAGCCTGCTGTATTTTTTACACCTCCACCCCCTTTCTTTATCAGCCCTGAGAGTTTGTGCAGTTCTCTGAATGTGCCAGAACTGTTCAGCCGCCCACCACCTGCACCTGAATAATTCCTCCCTGCCTTCAACTCATGTCACTTGCTCTGCCATGCCTTCTGCAGCCTTCTCTCATGAGCTTGGGGACCCCTCCAATGAGCTTTCATAGCACCTGTGAACACATTATTTCTTTATGACACCTTTCCTATTGTAGATGGGGTCACGTTTACCAAGGTAAAGAATAGAGAGGTGAGAACAGATACCGAGAAGATGATTTTCAGTTCAGTTTGGGATGTAAATTATCCATTCTCTCTTACTGTTGATTACAAATTACTGATCATGCTTGGCTCATCTAGATGAATTAGCAAAATGTATTCCATGTGAGGTAGCTGATCTTC